AGTAAAGGAAGCTAACAGTTAGTGCACCAACTGCCGACCAGTGTGGCAGGTACTGTGCTAGGTGTTTTTAAATTAAAATTTTTTTCTTTATTTTTGAGACGGAGTCTCACTCTGTCACCTAGGCTCACCACAACCTCCACCTCGGCCTCCTGAGTAGCTGGGACCACAGACGTGCACCACCACACCTGGCTCATGTTTTGTATTTTGGGTAGAGACAGGGTTTCATCATGTTGCTCGGCTGGTCTCAAACTCCTGAGCTCAAGCAATCTGCCTGCCTCAGCCTCCCAAAGTGCTATGATTACAGGTGTGAGCCACTTCACCCCACCGTTAAAAAAAAATTTTTTTTTTCTTTTTTTTTTTTTAAGATGGGGTTTCACCCTGATGGCCAGGCTGGTCTTGAACTCCTGACCTCAGGTGATTCACCCACCTCGGCTTCCGAAAGTGCTAGGATTACAGGCTTGCGCCACTACACCCGGCCCCCAAAAAAATTTTTTTAAAGAGACACAGGCCAGGCGAGGTGGCTCACACCTGTAATCCCAGCTCTTTGGGAGGGCGAGGCAGGCAGATCATGAGGTCAAGAGATTGAGACCATCCTGGCTAACATCGGGAAACCCCGTCTCTACTAAAAAATACAAAAATTAGTTGGGCGTGGTGGCACAGACCTGTAGTCCCAGCTACTCCAGGAGAATTGCTTAAATCCGGGAGGCGGAGGTTGCAGTGAGCCGAGATTGTGTCACTGCACTCCAGCCTGGCGACAGAGCAAGACTTCGCCTCAAAAAAAAAAAAAAAAAGACAGGCTCTTGCCACGTTGTCCTGGCTGCTCTTGAACTCATGGGCTCAAAGCGATCCACCTGCTTTGGCCTCCCAAAGTGCTGGGATTATAGGTATGAGTCACTGTGCCTGGCCAAATTTTTAATTAAAAAAAAAATGTTTAATTGTTGAAACCCCTGCAACAAACCTTGAATCTCTTATTCACCGTATTTTGTAGCTCAGGGGAAATTATCTGTAATCATTTCACAGCTAGTAAGAGCTGGAATTTGAATCTAAGTTTGCCTAACTCAGTAGTTCTCAACTGGAGGAGATTTTGGCCCCCAGGAGACATTGGGTAACGTCTGGAGATACTTTTGGTTGTCAAAGCTGGGAGCTGGCCGGGCGCAGTGGCTCACGCCTGTAATCCTAGCACTTTGGGAGGCCGAGGTAGGTGGATCACCTGAGGTCAGGAGTTCAAAGCCAGCTTGGCCATCATGGTGAAACCCCATCTTATTTTAAAAAAAAAATAATAAAAATAAAACAATTTAAAAAAAAAACTGGGAGCTGGGGGTGGTTGGGTATTGCTGCTGACATGTAGGATGGAGGCCAGGGACTGCACTGATGTCCTAATGTGCACCAGGTACCTTCCCACAAGAAATTCTCCTACTGAAAATGCTGTTAAAACTCGTGCTCTGAATGAAGAGACCCCCAAACAGGCTTTGTGTGAGCAACATGGCTGCGTATTTGCCCGGGTGCGGGCAGGCTGAGTCCAAACAGAGAGTCAGCGGAGGGCGGTGGAATCGGAGTTGGTTTTATAGGTTCGGGGTAGGCAGTGGAAGGTTACAGAAGTTACAGTCAAAGGTGGTTTTTGCAAGCTGGGAGGGGGCCGTAGGGTCTGCAGTCACGAGGTTGACCAAGGTCGGTTACAGAGTCCAATGGCCTTATCATTTGAGGCGGGAATAAGGAACCACAGAAGAATGTTTCAAGTTAATTAGGTGCTGCAGGGTTGGTCATTCTTCCCCTTTTCGTGGTCTTCCAGTTACTTCAGATCTTCTGCTCCCAGGAGGTCATCCTGGGGTGTCCTTGCCGGTCACGGGGGTGGTCATGGCCCCACTTAGGGTCTGGCCTATGGTGCGGCCATTCAAAGAAACTTGCAAATGCCACTGGGTGCTGGGGTTGAGAAACCCTGGACTCTAAGCCTGTGCTTTTGGCCTTGAGGGTGGGGTCAGTGTGCAGAAGAAAATGGAAAAGGGCCACCCCAAGGGCCTTGAGCGGGAAGGGGATGGGATTGCGATGCTCGGGGTAATGGAGAATCGGGGCCCCTTGTGAGGTGTCTTTCTTCCAAGCTTGGCCCGGGCCCTGTTCCATTTCTCCCAGCCTTGCCAGGTCAGCCCTAGGACTTCACACTAAGCTTGTCCTGGCGTGACCCCGACTCCCAACTCAGGGTTGGGGCAAATATTTATCTGGGTCTTACTTCAGCACTTCCCAGCCTACGACACTGGCTTCTGCGGCCAACGTGTTCCACCTGGAGTCCTTCAGCAGTTCCCCGTTAGCAATTAGGAGCCTTGCTGGGAAGGGGGGTGGCTATGTGGGTAGGGCACCGCTGAAAGCAAAAAACAGAGCCGCTCAGGGAGCAGGTGGCAGCTGAGAACAGTTAGAAGTGGAGCGAATGGGCAAAACCAGGAGCATCCCATCAGCAGGCCCCCCTGTCCAGGGAGGACCAGAGCAACTCTGAAGCAGGAAAGGCCACAAACAAGCCTCTGGAACACCGAACTGGGAAGGAAGAGGTGGTTTATTCGGCCGGGAGCTGCGTTGGGCCTCAATGCCCTAACAGCGCAGGCCCCCAACAAAGAAAATCCTTACCCCTTTTAAAGGCTTACAGCTCTAGATATTACATGCGAAAGGGTCTTGATCCGTGAAGTAGGCGTGGGGTGTGTGACTTAGGTGGGGGTGTGATCGTGTTTAAGCGAAAACAAGCCGGGCGCGGTGGCTCAAGCCTGTAATCCCAGCACTTTGGGAGGCCGAGGCGGGTGGATCACGAGGTCAAGAGATCGAGACCATCCTGGTCAACATGGTGAAACCCCGTCTTTACTAAAAATACAAAAAATCAGCTGGGCATGGTGGCGCGTGCCTGTAATCCCAGCTACTCAGGAGGCTGAGGCAGGAGAATTGCCTGAACCCAGGAGGCGGAGGTTGCGGTGAGCCGAGATCGCGCCATTGCACTCCAGCCTGGGTAACATGAGCGAAACTCCGTCTCAAAAAAAAAAAAAAAAAAAAAAAAAAAAGCGAAAACAGTGCCTTTCAGAAAGATTCCTCCACACCATACCCGCGATGTATGGATGGGATTGTGGCGAGCAGTGGGGGTCTCGTCCTTAACCCCGCCGGCGGCGCCCTCCACTTGCTCCTCTGGCTGACTTCGAACTTCTTTTGAAATGTAACGCAGAGGGCTGAAGGGGAAACGGCGTTAGAAGCAGAAAAGGACTGGCGGTCTCCTTCCTCAACTCGAGTAGGATGTAGGGGGCCTCTGGCCTGGGAAGCAGCGTTCTGAGCCGCTGGTTTACTTCCCATAGGCATTCCTCCTCCCTAAGCTGGGTCCTCAGGTTCACTGCACCCTCCCCAGCCCCAGCCGCCATTCTGAACCTCCCCAATACTGGCCTCCCCCTCGACCAGGTAGAGTCTAGCCCAGAGGGTCTGAACTGACAGTACCAACAGGAAATACCTCTTTCCAAGCCCAGAACCTCTGAAGCACTGAGGAGCAGATGGGGGCTGGGGTTGGGGGAGATAGTCTTGGAGTGATGGGGGGAAAAGAAAGATCATACAAACAATCACATCCCCCATGTTCTTTCCTTCGCCACCCATGGGGGTGGATCAGGGGATGGGGGAGGGGAAGCAAGGAGGAGGATGTGGTAACAGCTGATTCGTCCCCAGAGGTCACACTTTCCAACAATCAGCTGTTACTGGGGCGGAAGGCAGGAAGTTTCCTTAAAGGCGCAATGTTCTGAACGCAGGCTCAGAATTCTGGAGCTCCGAGGAACCTTATCAATTACCTGATGGAGCGAGTATTTATCAGAGGGAACGACCTCACCCTCCAGGCTCATCTCTCCTGCTCAGTTCCTCTCAGACCCTCTTTGGAGCTTAAGGAAAAGTCATGGATTTCAGTCCACACGTTCCTCTTCGGGGGGTCGCGGGGAGTGATGAGGTGGGGCTGGTCTCAGGCTTGCCCCTTTAAAAAAGCGGACCAGCAGCTTTTGCCAAGTCATTGGGTTCATTTCAGTTTGTGCCCATCCCCCGCTCACCTAGACTCTGATTGGCCCCTGGGGAAGGAGCAGCCTGCTCATTGGTCTCCACCTTTGAAATCTCTTCCCTAAGTAGGCCTGAGTCAGTGAAGAGCTTTGGAGGGCGGGACTGAATAGGGGTTAATCAGAGGATGCGATTGCTGACCATTTGCACTTTGGCATGGCCCATCCCCTAATTTCTGACCAGAAGCCCTCCCTCTACTTTAAGGTGAGGACTGTGCTATGAATCTTTTGTTAGAAAGCTACCTCTTGGGAGGCTGGGACTGGGAAGAGACATCCAAGAAAAAAGCCTCCTCTGGTTAGGAAGGGCTCCCAGGAGGAGCGGGCTGGGCTGGGCTGGGCGAGGTGGGCATCCGCCATCCTCCAAAAGCCGCAGAGTTCTGGCCGCCCTGGGCGCTGATGCTCTGCCCACTCCTGCTCTTGGGTCAGCTCCACCTTTCCTTAAAGAGCTAGAGCGTCCTGCGGAGGCCGGCGAGTCCGTTTGGGGGATGTCTAAAAGAAGCACTCACGGCTCCAACACGGAGGGGCGGTCGCCCTTTAAGGACTTCCCTGGGCTGGATTCCGAGCTCAGTTTAAAAATGCCAACTCACAGAGCGCGCTGGGTTCTGGGAATGAGGGTGTCGGGCTGCGAACTACACGAACCGGCATGCACTGCACACGCAGACGCCGTGACTTTCGCCTGCTCTTTAGGACTCTCGTTTGACGTAGCGCTTTTCTAAGCAGGTCGCTGACGCGGAAGGCTGGGCCACGCCCTTCCGTCTATTGGCCGGCTCCGGAGCTGGTGGGCTTGGCTTGGTGCAATGCCGCCTGGCAAAGGGATGGCCTCCTTGCCAATCAGAGCCAGGGCGCCCGGAGAGGCGGGACCAGGGCGAGGCCCCGGCGCCCCCGGGTGGGCGTGGCCACGTTGCCCAGCAGTGGGCGGTGATTGGCCCTGGACGGCGCTTTCGCAGCTCGTGCGTCACGACGCCGCCAGCTGATCGGAGTCTGTAGCCGGTGTGTGCTGGGCGCCGAGAAGAGACAGCGCCGCCGGCCGTGGGGAGCGGACGCAGTGATTTGCTCCCCTCCGCGCAGCAGCCCCCACACCCAGCACCAGGTGGGTGTGAGCTGACGACCCGGTCACGCAGCGGGAAGCCGCGGCGACGGGATGGAGGGCGAAAGTGGGGTCCGGGCGGCCACACCCTGCCCTTCCGTGGAGGAGAGAGGGGGCGGCGGGGGCAGGGGTGCTGCAGGGAGAGGGGCCTGGACTGGCCGGGCGAGTGTGTCAGAAGCGGCGAAGAAAGAGTCCGGGGTGGGAGTCGTGGCGGAAGGGCTGGCGGAGTATCGGCCGGGGGCGTGGGGGAAGCGCAGGGGCCGGAGGGCCGGGGGAGGCTCACCCGGCGCCCCCCGGCCTGAGGATACAGGGACCGGCCATCTATCTAGCCTGGGGAGGCTCTGGACTCCCCGAGCGGGCGGCGAGGAGGTTCTCTGCCGCCACCGGCGTTCACTGGGTCAGGGCCAGTTCAGCGCCCTGGCAGGGAAGGGGTCTCTGGGCGGGCCGGCCCCTCCTCTCGTTCCCTCCGGGGGATGTTATGTAAGGGGGGAGGGGAGGCGAGTAGGGGGCGGCGGTGCCGGGGCCTTATGCAACCCAAAGGTTAGGGTTTCACCGCGGTCGGGCGGGGGGAAGAGGGCAAGAGGAGGGCCTGGAAACTCTAACCCCCGCTCCCCAGACTAACTGGCCGTCTTGGGCCGAGAGAAGGTCACCTCTGCACCTCCCCCCAGCCTATCCTGTCGTGAGGCCCCTAGCCCAGGCCTGGCCCCGACTGCCTGGGAAGCCGGCTGGCTGGGTGGGGCGCCTGGGTTAGTCATCACTGGGCTGCCTCTCTCCCCACCTCCCGGCCAACTCTTGGCCCCTCCCCATGGCCTAGGCTGTCGCCCCCACCTCCCTCCGGCCCTGGTTCCAGCCTCCAACTCTTTTGGCCTGTCATCCTGGCTGTCAGACTGGACGAGGAGCTGTCAGAGTGCCAGGGGGTTGATGGAGCAGCTGGTCAGAGGGTCAGTGCCCTGGGCCCACCCCACCCTGCAGCCAAGGGCACCTGCTTGGCACAGACTCTCAGCAGCTGCCGAGTCCTCTGGGCTGAACGGAGCCATCTCAGACAGAGGAAAGTCGGACAGAGTTGGACTGGTCACCTAGGGAAAGGAAGACACCACAAAGTTCACGCCTCCCAAGAGGGTTTCGGAATTTGAACCGCGCCCCGTATCCCCAAATCTTTCTTACACTCTGAGTGTAGAAATTCCAAGGCAAGACCGCCCGGGCCCCTCTGCCCACCGTGGGCCATGCCCTTGGACCGAGTGTCGGCGAACACCCGCCCTCCCCAGCTCACATCCCCCGAGCCTGCCACGCCCCCAGCCCCCTCCCTGGGCCATGCTGCAGGGCCCGGCTTTTCCTGCTGATTCATGCGTTGGAACTGTGGGGGCGGGGCTTGCAACTTGGAACAAAGTTCAGACATGGAGGGGCCGGCAGACAGCCTGGAATTCATACCAGATGTACCCGGAATGCGCAAGCGGAATGCCTGGCATCCGAGAGGCCTGGAGAAGCTGCCCAACCACCCTGCCCATCCCTCCCTCCCCTCCAGCCTGTGGTCCCCTGTCCGCCCCCTCACAGCCCCAGGAGCCTCTGCTGACCTTCTTTCCAACGCTAGACTTCCTCCCTTCCTCGCTCTTCCCCAACCCAGGGCCCCAGCACACTCCTTCCAGCTCAGCTCCCTGGGAACCAGTCAGTTGGGCCGATCCCTGAACTCACGTTTCTGGACCTGAGGTACCACACTTCTGGCACCTGGGTGCTGGTGGGGTGTGTCCAGGGTCTCAGGCCTGGCCCGCCTGAATGCTGAGGAGGCTGGGCCCCGGGCGCTGCTGGGGCAGGGGAGGGCAGAGCTGGACTGGGTTTGTGTAGACTCCAGTTCGAAAGAAGAGCAAGGGGTCTGTTAGAGCTGCCTTTTCGCTCGCCGGAGTTAACAGCTTCTGCAGGCCCAGGTCAGAGCTGCAACCCTTCTCTAGAAGCTTGAAGGTCTGTCTGCCGGGTGGGACTCCGATGGCCAGTGGGTCAGTGTCCCTGAACCGGCCTTGCTCACGTGGCTCCCGTTGTTCCTTCCTCTCCCTCTAGGAGCTCGCGCCTCTCACACCCTCACCTGGCTGAGCCGCAGTAGTTCTTCAGTGGCAAGCTTTATGTCCTCACCCCGCTAAAGCTGCCAGTTGAAGAACTGTTGCCCTCTGCCCCTGGCTTCGAGGAAGACAAGGAGGAGCTGCTTTCCCCAGCATCTGGAAGGTGACAGAACCGGGGCTGGGAAGGTCCGCACGGCAGGGTTGGTGATACGTTTTGGGAAAGCTGGAGAGCCTTTGCCCAGATGGGCCCGCAAGGAGCAGTTTTTAGATTAGCGACACTGGCTGAATTGAGGAGGAGAAGGCTCAAACAACCCAAGGTTAGTTGGTCTTTGTGTGGCAGTGGGAAGGCGTGGAGAGAAGAAAACTCTGTCTACCCGACCTTCTTGATCCTCCATCCTTCCCCACTGGCCTTTCCAGATGAGGTCCAAAAGTAAGTTCACTCTTCAGGGAAAAGTGACGCTAAAACTCAGGTGTGAGCAGGCATCCTTCTGCGCTTTTTTTTTTTTTTTTTTTTTTGACGTGGAGTCTAGCTTTGTCGCTAGGCTGGAGTGCAGTGGCATGATTCTGGCTCACTGCAACCTCCGCCTCCCGGGTTCAAGAGATTCTCCTGCCTCAGCCTCCCGAGTAGCTGGGACTGCAGGCACCCACCACCACGCCCAGCTAATTTTTGTATTTTTAGTAGAGATGGGGTTTCAGCATGTTGGCCAGGATAGTCTCAATCTCTTGACCTTGTGGTCCGCCTGCCTCGGCCTCCCACAGTGCTGGGATTACAGGCGTGAGCCACCATGCCGGACTTCCTTCTGCTCTTACTTTTCCCTGCATTCCCTCAGGCTGGCCCAGACTCTAGACTTGTGGCGTTTACCTGTGTCTGGGACCCTTAGATCTCCTGTAAGATGGGGAGTCACACAGATGAGTGGGCATGAGAGAATCAAGCCCACCTGTGTAGACTCAGAACCTGGGCTGGCCTCCCCCTGTGGGTGGGAACAGAACACCTTTTCACATAAGCTGTTGTCCATCCCCCATCCCTGACACCATCACCCAGGAGCTGGGGAGTAATGGGGAGCTGGAGGAAGACACCACAAAGTTCACACCTCCCAAGAGGGTTTCGGAGTTTGAACCGTACCCTGTGCCCCCAATCTTTCTTACACTCTGAGTATAGAAATTCCAAGGCAAGACTGCCTGGGCCCTCAGAGTTAGACAAATGCGAGGAGCTAGGAGAAGCTCATAATGTCCCCCATGCAGGGGCGGCCCCAGGCTTCCCCTGCCATCCAGGGCAGGACAGCAGCCCCAGGGGAACTGTACCTGCTGCTGCTCTGCCACTTTCCTCATTTTGCTCTCCAGGGTGGTATGCAGTCCCCAGCTCAGGCCTGTGCAGATGGGAAATTCTCCCCTCCAGCCAGCAGGGGAGATGGGTTATGGGATATGACCTCCTGGGTATCAGGCAGTGTGAACCTGCAGCCTCCAGCTCTGATCCAGTCTCACTCAGGGGCTACAGGAAGCTGTGTGTTCGCTTTGGTGGGAGGAGAGGTGCAGGGAGCTCTGTCTTCTCCACCTGTGAAAAACTGAAGGATGTGGAGAAGAGTAGACCGCAGAACCCTGCCTTCTGCAGCCAAGCTGAGGGCAGGCTGTGTGGGGGCAGTGTCGAGAGGGTGGATGGACTCGTAGGCTGCAGCAGAGGCCACTGTGTCCCTGGACATTGCCTCCGTCCTTTCTTCTCCTTGCTTCACTGGCCACAGTGTCTCCCTCCAGCCCTCGGCATGTTCTTCTACCATCTTCACCCGTCATGGAGCAGAGGTGAGGAAAGGCAGCTTGGGAACCCAAAGACCAGTGAAGGACCAGGTCTGGACAGCACAGGGTCCTCCCTGGGCATCCAACAGAGGCGCCCATAAACGTCGGAGCACCCCAAGAGGAGGGAGCACAGCCAGCCTCCATCGACGGCAAGCCTCCAGCCCCTCCTACATTGATCACCATTTCTCTCCAGTCTTTCTGCCTCCGAGATGGGGCACCGTCAGTGCAGTGCCCTGCGGCTTCAGCGCCCTACTTCCTCCTCCCAGCCTGTAATGTTTATATAAGCAGACTCAAGGACCAAGAGCCAGCTGTGGAAGGACACACACAGGAAATTCACAAAGGAAATTCTAATGGCTAAAACCCCGAACCAAATGTATGCTTCATTAGTAATTAAAGAAAGGCAAATAGAGCTGAAAGCGTTTTTCCCTTAGCAAACCATCACAGAAAAAAATAAGACCCAGTATTGGCAAAGAGACTGCTAAAATAACATGCCCATACATTGTGTGTGGGAGGATAGATTGGTGCTGGCTTCCTGGACGGCAGTTTGGTGATGTGTGCCATGTACCCTAAAAGCGTCCATGTCCTTTGACCTACTAATTCTATGTTTGGGAATTTATCCTAAGAAAATAATTGAGGATTTAGTTATAAGATGTTCATCCCAGCGCTGCAATGGAGAAAAATGGGAAGCAATGGTGTGGTTGGAAATTCATTCCTTTTCTGCTGTAATGAAAGTTTGCAATAGGGGATTACTGAAGTAAATTATTGTATATCCATCCAGATGGTGGAGTACTGCACAGACATTAAAAGTCATGTAAAAGAACATCTGACAGAAAAATGCTCCTTGAATATTAAGAGGTTGTAAAAATAGCGCATGTTATGTGATCTCAATTTTGTTTTTTAAAATCTGGGTTTATACTTACTGTTTACATAGAACAGATAAAGACTGAAGGCATACTAAAAAATGTTTAGTGGTTATCTTTGGATAGTGGAATAAAATTGTGATTTTCATCTTTTGTTTTTCTGTAATTTCCAAATTTTCTACATGAATGGTGTATGACTTTCATATAATAAATATAATTTAAGAGATCAGTGTTATTATTTAAAGCTTTGGAGAAGTGGGTGTAGAAGAAGGAAGGGAAGACCTCAGTTTTCTGGTGAGAAGGTTTGCTTGGGGTGCTTCCTGGTTGATGAAGTTCATTCTTGGAAGTAGCTGGAATCCTCCCTCTCAGCCTACAGGAAAACAGCGCTGGATTGCTGGCTGTCGGCCAGGTAAAGAGGGGCGGAGTGGGGTAGGTGGAAGGAAAGCACAGACCTGTAGCTCTTCAGGTGGTGAGGGGCTGGGGAGGCTCTTCCTCTTAAGGCTAGGTGGAGGGTTCTAGAATCCTAACAGCCCTGCTATTGAAAACAGGACAGCTCTGTCTCTTCTGACTGCCCCGGCCTTGAAGGGACCCCGTGTTACCTTTCCTTGCCCTCGGATTGAAAGGCATCCTACCCACCCACCTGGTACCAAAGCCCCTGGGGAAGGGGTGCTTTTCAGGACTGTGGTAGCCAGCGGTTCCCTTTTGCCTCCTCTTCCTGATAAGGCTCCTCTGTGGGGCCGAAAAAAATGCCGCGGGGCGGGGTGGGGTCCAGTGGATTCCTTCTTCAACAGGGGGTTTCCTGGGCGTTGCGGGGGCAAACTCCTGGAGTTACAAGTTTGCTGGGTATGTTACAGGCCTGGAAACCTCAGGAGACAGAAAGGGTGGCTCCAAGAAAGCGCGGCGCCCAGTCCCCACCCCCGATGCTGGGAGGGAAGGGCAGGGCGGCGGCCAGGCTCGGGCAAATCTCCGCCTTCCAGGTGGTGGTGGCTACTGGTGACGCTCAGCAGGTGAAAGGCGTGGGAGTGGGAAGAGGAGGTCAAGGGTCGCGGGGTGGGGCCGGGAGTGTCAGGCGAGGTGGGACCGGAGACCCCGGTCTGCAGCTCCGAGCGCTTCAGGACGCACGTAGCTGGGGAGGACCCCCGAGAGGCAGCGCGCGGTCTGGTGCCTGGAGCCCCCAGCCGCTCTCCCGGGGTGGGGCGGGACGCCACCGGTTGCCAAGGCTCGGGGACAGCGGCCCCGCGGTTGCTCCAATCACCGCCCGGCCCGAGGAACAAGGCGTGGACCCGGGGAAAAGTTCCTGTGGATCCCAAAGGCGGGGCACGGGGGAGGGCGCCCCGCCCTGCCCTGCCGGGTAGTGGGTTCCCAGTCCTCGCGGGGCCGCTGTTGCTTCCCGGTCGAGAGCGCGGGCGCCGAGGGGACCCACCCGGACCTCCCCCACCCGCCATGGCGCCCCCGGGGCTCCTCGTGACTGGCGCCTCCTTCCTGACGTTCCCGGGGCTGCACTGGGGGCTGCGGTTGCTGCCCACACCGGGGCCCGCCGCTCGGGACGGCTGGCGGTGGCGGAACCTCTGCGTGTCCCTGGTACACAGCCTGCTCTCGGGGATCGCGGCGCTGCTCGGGTGCGGCCTTGGGGGTTCGAGGCGCACTGGGCGGGGGTGGGGGTGGAAGGCTGAGATCGGGAGACCCGGAGTAGAGACTGGGGTGGGGGCGCGCGTGGCGGGAGGGCGGAGTCGGGGCTTCGGGGGGCTGACCATGCCTCCCCGGTGTCCCCAGGCTGATCCTGCACCCTCAGATGGCCGCCGACCCTATCCAGAGCCACCTGCGCTGGGCCCTGGTGCTGGTAGCGGTGTCTGTAGGTGAGTCTGCAGCGAAGGCTGGGGGGTTGGGGGAAGGGGAGCAGCCTCTGCCGTCCTGCGAGGTCCCTTTCCCCTCCCCCATAGGGTTAAACATTCCTGAAGGCTTTACCCAGGGAAACTTAAGAACTGGGGTGGGGGGGCTGGAAATCCGCTCTAAGCCGCCCTGCTCTGGAGAAGCCTAAGCCCCCACCCCCTTGCCCAAAGGTTATTTCCTGGCCGATGGAGCTGACCTGCTGTGGAACCAGCGCCTGGGCAAGACCTGGGATCTCCTCTGTCATCACTTGGTGGTGAGACTCTGAGGGGAGAAGCCAGACCAGAGGGTGGTGGGGGGAGCCCTGTCCAGCCTGAGGCTCCCAATCTCTCTTCATTCTTCTTTTTCTTTTTTTTTTTTTTTCCTGAGATGGAGTCTCACTCTGTTGCCCAGGCTGGAGTGCAGTGGTGGGATCTCAACTCTGCAACTGTCGCTGCCGGGGTTCAAGTGACTCTCCTGCCTCAGCCTCCCATGTCGCTGGGATTACCGGTGCATACCACCATGACCAGCTAAGTTTTATATTTTTAGTAGAGGCAGGGTTTTGTCATGTTGGCCAGACTGGTCTTGAACTTCTGACCTCAGGTAATCTGCCCGCCTTGGCCTCCCAAAGTGCTAGAATGACAGGCATGAGCCACCGTGCCCAGCTCTCTCTTCATTTTTCTGGCCTATCACTTCCCACAGAGTCTTTGCCCTCAGCTGGTGCTTTGCTCCCCAGTCTTAGGCTGAGTTAGAGGGAGGAGGTGCTCCCGGCCACAGCGGGGGAGTCCAGACACCCACCATGCCTGGGGAGTTCCAGCTGATCACAGAAGTGTGGACTATGGAGCTTTTCTGAGAAGAGGGAGCACTGGTATAGGGTGTGGGTATGGGGCATGGAACCCCAGAAATGGGAAGTTAAGGGGGGTGAGGGGGCGAGACAGCCCCTGCCTGGGCCAAGCCCTGTTCCATCTATGGAAGGGCTGGGTTTTTTTGTTTTTTTTTTTGAGACGGTGTCTCGCTCTGTCACCCAGGCTGGAGTGCAATGGCAAGATCTCGGCTCACCACAACCTCTATCTCCCAGGTTCAAGTGATTCTCCTGCCTCAGCCACCTGAGTAGCTGGGATTACAGGCATGTGCCACCATGCCCAGCTAATTTTGTAGTTTTAGTAGAGACAAGAGTATCTCCATGTTGGTCAGGCTGGTCTCGAACTGCTGACTTCAGGTGATCCGCCTGCCTCGGCCTCACAAAGTGCTGGGATGGCAGGTGTGAGCCACCACACCCGGCCAGAAGTGTTTTTTTTTTTTTTTTTCCGAGATGGGGTTTCGCTCTTGTTGCCCAGGCTGGAGTGCAATGGCGCGATCTTGGCTCACCGCAACCTCCGCCTCCTGGGTTCAAGCAATTCTCCTGCCTCAGCCTCCTGAGTAGCTGGGACTATAGGCACCAGCCACCATGCCCAGCTACTTTTTGTATTTTTAGTAGAGACGGGGTTTCACCTTGTTGACCAGGATGGTCTCGATCTCTTGACTTAGTGATCCACCCGCCTCAGCCTCCCAAAGTGCTGGGATTACAGGCGTGGGCCACCACGCCCGGCCAGAAGTGTTTTAAGGATGCTCAGGGCCCCAGGATAAGGGCAGGAATAAAGGTCAGGTGTTTGGGGAGTCCCACTAAATGCATGGAAGCCGCTTTCTGACGCCCTGGGTTATTGGGACATTGTAGCCAGCAGGTCTTGGGGGTCCTCTGACCTCTGACCCTGGCTCCCAGGTGGTGAGCTGCCTCAGCACTGCTGTTCTGTCCGGCCAGTACGTGGGCTTCTCCATGGTGTCTCTGCTCCTGGAGCTGAACTCTGCCTGCTTGCACCTGCGGAAGCTGCTGCTGCTTTCTCGCCAGGCCCCGTCCCTGGCCTTCAGCGTGACCAGCTGGGCCTCCTTGGCCACCCTGGCCCTCTTCCGCCTGGTGCCGCTGGGATGGATGAGTCTATGGCTGCTCCAGCAGTGCCACCAGGTTCCTCTTGCTCTGGTCATCCTGGGTGGAGTTGGGCTGGCCACTGTGGGCGTCATGAGCATCGTATTGGGTATCCGCATCCTTGTCAGTGACGTTCTGCGGTTTCGACCCCATCCATCCATCCCCAGGCATGAGAAAACCAGGAGGACCAGGACACGTGGTGACGATGGACCCGTCACCAGGGACAGTTCCACTATCAACCTGAAAGACTAGAGAGAAGCCATGGCCTCTCCCTGGGGGAGATGAGGCCAGGGCCAGGGCCAGGAGATGACGGTCTTCAGTGCACAGTCTCCATCAGGGTGAGGCACACTGACTATCAGCATCTCAGGGTGTCTTCCAGCTAACTCACATCCCTTCCCCTTCCTAGGATCTAAGAAGAAATGCTGATGTTGGGCCAGGTGTGGTGGCTCATGCCTGTAATCCCATCACTGTGGGAGGCTGAGGCCAGCGGATCACCTGGGGTCAGGAGTTCAAGACCAGCCTGGCCAACATGGAGAAACCCCATCTCTACTAAAAATACAAAAATTAGCTGGGCGAGGTGGCTCACGCCTGTAATCCCAGCACTTGGGAGGCTGAGGTGGGCAGATCACCTGAAGTCAGGAGTTCAAGACCAGCCTGGCCAATATGGTGAAACCCCGTCTCTGCTAAAAATACAAAACTTAGCCAGGCATGATGGCTCGAGCCTGTAGTCCCAGCTACTCAGGAGGCTGAGGCAGGAGAATGGCTTGAACCCAGGAGGCAGAGGTTGCAGGAGCCGAGATTGCACCGCTGCACTCCAGCCTGGGCGACAGAGCGAGACTCCATCTCAAAAAAAAAAAAAATAGGCCAGGCGCGGTGGCTCAAGCCTGTAATCCCAGCACTTTGGGAGGCCGAGGCGGGTGGATCACGAGGTCAAGAGATCGAGACCATCCTGGTCAACATGGTGAAACCCCGTCTCTA